TTGTTGTTGTTGTTGTTGTTGTTGTTGTTGTTGTTGTTGTTGTTGTTGTTGTTGTTGTTGTTGTTGTTGTTGTTGTGAAACGGGATGTGTTGTCGATGATGATGATTGTGGTGAATGTGGTGGTGGTGGTGGTGGTGGCGGTGACATTGAAGAAGAAGTAATAGTAGCTTCAACAGGTGGTGTTTGTGTTGATGTTGAATTTGAGCTTGAAGACGGTGTGTAAACTGGTAAAGGTTCAAGATGTTCTATTGGTCCCGTGCCCTCCATTTCTAATTCGATTTATAAATTACAAAAAATATGAGAATGTATATACATAATACAATATAATATATACGATATTATAAGTACCAGCATGTCTTTTAAGCACTTCTTTATAAATTGAACTGAATTCAAATCCGCCACCTTCCTTAAATGTAATTTTCAATTCACCTGGAGATGTTAATCCACCATTTGAAACCTTTTCAAAATAAACATCATTTATATTTTAATAATTTCTTTTTTCTCTTTTTTTTTTCGAACAATAATGTTTTTAAATTTAAACAAACATACAGGGATCATAGTAGCTTGATAATAATTAGGTGCAAACCAAGGTTGTTGGAATTTACCATCTTTCAAATTTAATAACGGTATACTCAAAGATTTAAAATGTTCTAAAGATGGATGAGATAGAAATATTATCTGTAAAAAATTTTTTTAAGAAAAATTTAAATTATTTTGTACTTTTGAATATCAATTGATTATTATATATAATTTTATTATTACATACTCTTTGATTTGTTACAAAAACAATTCCTTCCGCTTTTAAATTTGGGTGATTTCCAGGATATCCACTAATGTTTAATAAATAAATAAACATTTTATTTATTATACAGAAAGTGTAGATGCAAAAATCAAAAACAAGCAATATGCTTAAAATTATATTACCCTCCCATATCCAATATAAGCGAAACCTTTTCTTGACTACCATTAAAATTAATAAAATGTGTAAATATTTTTATTAATAATTCGAAAGCCATTAAAATATCAATTAATTAACATGAAAATATCCATTACCTAAAGAAAACCTTCTCGCCAGGTAGAGGTACTGGGTGTTTGCCATCAGAAGAAATCATTACCCAATTCACCGACATTTTTTAAAAATATATAATTAAATATTAAGAGTAAATTATAAGAATACAATTACAATATAAAAAAGATCTATGCTTGAACTATTTTTCTTTTTTACTTTTTTATTTAAATTATATGGCTGACAAAGAAATTACAGGGATAAAAAATTTAACATCACAATAGGTCCCCTAAAAACTATTACTATTACTATATTAATATAGTCGGTCTAAAAACCTCCTAAATTTTGGGCAAATTTTATAAGTATAGAAGTCATTTTCTGTCCTATCTTAAAAAAAACTCTATTAATTGATAGAATATGTATTTAGTTTTAATGTAATAAAGAGATTTTCTCAAAAAAATTCTTCCTATTCTTTTTTAAAACATGTAATTTATTATTACTATGCTCATGAGTGAGCGCTATGATCATTGCTAAATTTAGACTAGTTTTTGATCATCATTCCTAAATTTGGCAGTAAAGAAAATAATTTTTTAACCAAAATCACGTGAAGCCCTTTTTTTAAAAAATTTTATGAACGAATCACGAAATCGCATTTTTTGAAATTTGAGCGCGTGGCGCAGCAATAGAAGGTCTTTAGACCAAGCCAACCATATTAATATAGATAGCGACTGGTCAGTCTTATTATGGGAATTCTCTAGCAAAAGGTGGCTTAAGTGCCTCTGAGATTTCTGCATAATATTTGGGGCATGCTGTAACAAAACCAGACAAAGTGAACATTGATATTACCAAGGATTTCAGGGATCAATATGTTTGTCTAACATCACAATTGTATTACCAATGTAATGGTGATGGATATTTGTTTTTCACCTTTTACACAGTGAACCTCGATTTAACGGATAGTTTGGGCAATTAGGGAAAATTTTCCAAAAATACATTAAACCGAGATATCTGCTATATCAAGAAGGTTTATTATGAAACCATTCTTTGAACTTTATCTGTAAAACTGAGATTTTTAATTAGTATCTATCTGCTAAATTGAGGTCCGCTAAATTGAGATTCACTGTGTATATAGAACCACCCCTATATAAAAATAGTAATATTAATATGAAATTAATTTACATCAGATCTACAATGGAACCCAAGAATTATAGTACTATCAGAAGTATTTTGAAGAAAGAACAAGGTGAAAAAATTGCACCTTATATTTTCAAAATAAATGATACTCATACACTTGAAGCTTATCTAAGAAAAGAAAGGATTACCTATGAAATTTGCCAAGAAGAAAGAAAAATAATAAATGTTAGAAAAAGAGAGCAGGATGAGAGCATACCATTACAAAACAATAGACTGAAATCTCTGAGCAAAAGAACCTAATGCAAAATTACTATCTACTATAAAACTTTTAAAATCAATACCAATTATAATGTTTCATTCCAACTATAACTTTTCTTTTTTTGTTCAAATAATTATCACAATTATTTAGAAACGTTTTGATATTTATTTAACAATGTTAATGAACTGATAATTTATTGTTGTAAAATTTTATAAAAAGTTATCTTTATTTGTTTGAATTTTACTTTTTAAATAATAAAAATACAATTCTTAAAATATAAATATAAATCATAAGGAAATAAATAAATATATAATCTATCTATTGTATGGAAGCTTATAGACTTCCCGGAAAGTATGATCATAATTTAAAAATAACTTCTTTGATTATATATACACTAGCTGGACAAAAGTATTTGATCACGTATTTACACTAACTAGTAAAAAACCTACATAACAACATCACACGAAATTTATAACATTATAGACCTAGGTTTTGATAATTATATATTCGAAATTTCACGTTGCTAGCTTTCATGCACGTATCAAATTTAATAAAAATGTTTTAATTTTTCGTTGACTGCGATTCAAATGTTATCACTATTTTTTTTTAATCATTGATTTTCTAGACATGATAGAAACACGAAATTTCATATATTTATTCTTCAAAACAATATCCCTCATTTATATAAATTTACAATTTTTTATTATGTAAATTTTTTATTAATCTTGATATTTGGAAGTTAGCAACGTGAAATTTCGAATATATAATTATCAAAACCTAGGTGCATAATGTTATAAATTTCGTGTGATGTTGTTATGTAGGTTTTTTACTAATTAGTGTAAATACGTGATCAAATACTTTTGTCCAGCTAGTGTATATTATATATTGGGTAGGCATATATAATATTTATATGGTGCGGGACCTCTTAAACCACCATTTACTGCGCATCATGGCCAAAATTTCAAAAATGTCAATTTTATTCACACATATATATATAAATGCAATAATATTTTAATACCTTAAAGACAATTTATTGGAATAAATACTCGAGTAAATAAACAATATTGACGTGTTAATGCTACTGTTACACGATTTTTTTAATTCTGCGTAGTTTAGTTTCTGGGGACATGCTCATACTCCGGTTTGAATTCTGATTTGATCTTAGTAGATAATGATTCTTTTTTTATTTGGTATGTATGCCAAACGCACAAAATATTCTTAATTGATAATCTTGAGTGCCACAGGTCATATTGATTCACACAATTATAAAAAAGCTTGGCCATTTTGATTTGGCGGAGATACATAATAGAGTTCTCCCCTATTAAAACAAAGCGAAAAAATTTAAAAATCTAATTCTTAGTGCTGTGGCTTAAACTGAATATTAAAATTAATATTCATACTAACTGGAAAGAGCAAACGGTCGACTCGAACGAATAAATCACAGGGACAGTTACATGTTATATAAATTTTTCTAATAAACGGTAGTGTAACGGTCCTGAATTGTTAAAATAAACCACCAAATCTAAATGACTGATTTAATCAGCAGCTCACTTGCGATTTTTTAAGAAACCAGTATTGCCTTAATTGTTCCACATCTCAATTATTCCCAAGATTCTAGCTACTCGTATTAATTATATGTATCAATTATTTAATCTCTAAAAGAAAAACTTCGCGTAATAATTAAATAAACACCAAATAAAGAAATTAAAATACTATATAGTAAAATGATAAATAAAAATAGCAATGTAACAATAGAAAATTTAAAAATTCTAAAAATAAAAACAATGTTCGCGTAACTCTTTATACAATAATGACGATCAATTTAGTAAAGATCCTGTATATCAGTATTTATAGTTTTGAGTTTTGATGACTATTTTTATTTTCCTGATGAAAATAATTCATTATAAATGATTAGTAAAAAATTATAGATCTATTTGTGTAATGTTTATGTCGTCATTTATATAAAGCTCAATTTAAATCGTATTATTTTTTAAAAAAGTACCTTCAAAAGATGTCGACTAGCTTTTCATCCTTGGGAAATATAAATACTTTATTTGATAACCTCATTAATTCCAACAAAGATGCTTCGCCATT